CTCTGCCAATCACTCTGCACCAAATTATATGGGTCTTCATTCCAGGCTTTTTGTATATAATTTAATTTTTGGTTTTTAATTTTAATTTTTGATTTTAATGTCATGATTTTGAAGGTGAGGAAAGTCATGCAGACGTAAATCTCCCTTGTACATATAGTGAGTGCATGAGAGCGAGAAAGTGAGAGAAATAAACTCAACAATCAACTGTTTATTAAAATATTTATTAATGTTTATTAATATGCTATAGTACAGTATATTATGTATTGTGTATATTGTATGTGTGTATATATATATATATGCAGTATACACACACACATGCACACAGTATACATTCTTAATCTAAAACGTCCTGTATCATAACTACATGTCTGCCTTTTCTAACAAACCAAACCGCATGAAAATCGGTTGAAAATTCAGTGAGTTACAAATATTTTAATTGTACATAAACCTCCATCCTAAACAGAAATGAAGGCACTGGAGGCGAAGCAGGTCCCCACCAAAGATTGCGGCCACGCTGATACGTTACCAGGCAAACGGTACGTAAAACAACCAAATAAAACACATATAAGCATATGGAGGTAAATTCACAAAATAGCTTTAGCGCGGTATGCAGTCCGTGAAACCCAGCTAACAGACGGACTTCGCTGGCACGCGCATTAACATATCCAGCAAAGCTTCAATTACAGTTACCTGAATGCTACATATACCTTCGCGAAACTCTAACTTACATTGAGAAGTTATTATAAATCACTGCAAAATACTGTCGACATACCTGAAAGTGTGGAGACATAATGGCAAAAACACAGAGCGATGCTTCCAGAGCGAGAGCACTTACTCGAATGAGGAAAATATCGCGATCTTGCCTCTGTACGCAAAGACATAAATACGCAGACTAAAGATTAACACTAAGCATGTGATGGTAAATGTACAGCATGTTTTACTTGCAGACAGATGTATTGATAGACGTGTCACTTGAGGCTGGGTGTTAAGATTGACACTCTGTCACTGCTGGCTTTGGCAGTTTTCCCCCCTTTGAAGCTGGTGACCCACTGCACTTACCAACACGGCTCTCTGTACAGTTTAGCAGAAGTAAAATGCAGGCAGGTGGCCGCACAGCCGAACAGAGGGGCGTATGCAGGCTTTGCTGAAGGCTATGCAGCCTAAGATGGTTTTGTGGTAATAAAACAGGCTATTTTTAAGCTGTGTGTCTGTGTCATTTTGTCACCTCTCTGCCACAGTCATGTGACTCCACACTCAAAGATAAACATCTCAAAGCCTTTGCGCATCGGGTGGTATTAATAAGACTAATGAAGATGAAGCATATCGTATACAACCCCCTGCTGGGTCAAAGGTCCTTGTTCTCTGAGGTCTTAAGTTCAGTTTGTGATTGAAGTTTGATACTGAAGTCACCCTGACATCAGCGGATTGTAAAAATGACCAGGGGAGACATATAAACTCTTTCAGGAGCATTTTTATAATGACACCCCAGTAACTTCCTAATGTAAACTGGGCTGTGTAAAATCAGGATGATTTGGGATTCTGCAGGAATCTGGTTTCTGGATCCTGTGTCATGACTGGCTTTCATACTTTAAGAAATATTTCACAATCTGATATAAAAGTTATTAACTAGCATGTACTGTAACACTAGTGTCTTGTACACAGGAGCAGAGATAACAGCAAACATGTCTTCCACTTCTCTACAGACCCTTGATGACAACTCATATGAAAGATGCAGAAACTGCTGAGAAACTGAAAATAGTTGCAGCTAATTCAGGGTGTTTGTGGTTGATGCTCTCTGTGTGTCTGTGTGTGTGTGTGATCTCCTCCCCTCCCTCTCTGCCAGGCCCCCTCTTTAATGCACTGACACATTCAGAATGAGGACAGACAGTCAGTTTATTACAGATGGATAGAAACAGATACAGCTAAAGGCCACAATCGACACCCCAGACATGGCTCCTCTCCTCTTCCTCCTCTTCATCGTTTTTATAGCGTTACCAGGTAAAGCTTGGCATTTTGTTCACATTCTGTTTAACTGATCAAAAAAAGAAGATAAAAGCAAGTATTTTGTTGTTAATCTTGTACTTTTTTGCTGAGTAAATTAGGTATCCGTGTTACACTGATATATTAGTATCCTCTATTGTAGCCTTTTCTTTGAAAGTAACATAACGGCATATTATCCTGAGCAAGTGAAGCTTTCAGCCACTGACCATAACTGAGTAAACTACAGACAAAGCTGTTATCAGAGTGTAAATAC